ACACCCAATATGCTAGTAATATGCATGCTAATAAGCAATATTCAGTAGTGTTCCCTAATCTTAAGTGTTACTATTCTTTTATATGGATAACACATTACTAGCATAAACAGACTCTTACTGTGCATTTCTATGGAAATACAATAGAGATAAGTAATAGCAGTAAATGGATAAATATCTGTTCGATAATCCTGTGGGGGCCGTGACATTGTCAACAGGTTTAAGACTCATTGCTTGAGCCACATGATGTTCAGTTCATTTTGAGAAGCAAAACTTATCTGCGACAAGTAAAAAGTTAGTCAGATGACTGGTGACTTTTTGCTGACTTGTTATTTGCTGTAACTATTTTCTTAATTAGTCACATTCAACAGTGTTACTGATTTGGCCAGTAAAATTCTCCACCCTAACATGACATAAAATATACAGTGATTCTAAGCAAATAACATGCATTATCAGATTAAAGGTTATTATAATCTGTCACATCCTTGTGGGTTTGGTCGGTGAAAACTTAGTTCTGCTATGACAACTCTCAGAGAGTTTAGCATGGTAATATACATGGCAATGTCAATGTGTTTGGTCTTGGTGGAATAGATCTGCTACGTTGCTGCCGTTACAGAGCAAGTATGTGTGTGTGTGTGTGTGTGTGTATAAAGGGTGTGTGGGTATATATATATATATATATATATATATGTGTGTGTGTGTGTGTGTGTGTGTGTGTGTGTGTGTGTAAATATATGTATATGTATATACACACACACACACCCATTCATACTGCTTTTACTTTATCATTTTATTATCATATACTGTCACTCACATAATAGTTTATAAAAGTTGATGTAGATCTGTTTGTTTACTGTTGTGTTCATATTATTATTATTAGTCTGGCTACAGAAACTACTGTATATGCTGTCTTTCTCTATTTACATTTTATAATACATTCATTACAAATGTTCCATTTCTCATGAAATCTGACAAAACTTGTATAGAGGTATTTTCAGTTTTTCTAATATTTTTGCAATTACAATTAGATGAATTCATCTTTTAGCTGGTGATACATTGTATGTTGTAGCTGTGAATAATCTAAAACAGTGCTTGTCAGTCCAAATTTATAGACCTGATTCATCTGAAAAATTCATTACTAGACAAATGACCCATGACAAGTGTGTCAGATTATTAATGTGCGATGTGAAGGGCATATTTATATTTGCTACTAATAATTAAATATGATTTGGTAACCTCCTCCCACTTTTTAAATGGTTTGTCATTTTTTGAGGATTATTCTCTGCCCAAATAAACTTTAAATTAAATTAAAATGCATCCCATTTTTTTAAACATTAAAAGTTTTGACTTAAAATACCATTTTGGGCAGAATAAAAATTTTAATGATTTGCTCTACCTGCAATTTTAAGGAGACTGTGCAGGTCTGCTTTGATTGCAGTGGTAAACACAAATCAATGGTAAAACATAATCTTATAGCAATTATGCATAGTAAGCCAACGTGAACATGTAATAAACCCTGTTCTTTTATTGGGGACGGGTCATAAACTGTTGAGCCACACCCAGATTTATGCTTGTTACCCCATTACACTTCTTTATCAGAATTCTCAGGTCACTGTCAGATTATTCAACATGCAAGAGACTTGAAACTGTAAACAATTAATTATTTTATAATGATATTTTTGCATGTAAAGGGTTCATTTTGACAGGTCGACTATATGTTATACAATAAATAATTATGACAAAAGTAAAGGTCAAAGCTTAATTTTATTCCCATGGCTTTTGTTTTTCACAATGGAGAAGACTCCTTGAATAGACCACGTTCCTGACGGTCACGATCAGGCTCAGGGAATGCACTTTATTTGTTCAACATTTACTTTGTTTACCTGCTTAGTTTTACAGTTTTACTACAACTGCCTTTTGTCTGCAGTGAACTAACAATTCAAACATTTCAAACAATACATCAAAGCCAGATGTCTTACCATTTTTATTTATTTATTTATCAATAAAA